GTGTGTGTGTGTGTGTGTGTGTGTGTGTGTGTGTGTGTGTGTGTGTAAGTAAAATTATGCTTCAGGACTCTCAGACATGCCATCGTTCAAAGCTTGTGTGTCCAAGCTGAGGATCAAGTCGGTCACAAATGCACGTTTCTCTGCAGAAGTAGCAGTCGTTCTGGGGAAGAGGAACGGGACCGGGACAGGGGTCGCGACAGAGAGCGCGATAGAGAACGGGACAGAGAACGGGACCGAGAAGACTCTTCTGGCTGGGACGGTGCAGGAATGTCTCGAAGACACAGACAGCGCTCCCGGAGCGGAGAGAGGGACAAGGAGCGCTCCAGAGAACGGGAAAGGCACCGAGATTACAGAGACCGATACCGCTAACTTGGTAAACCTCCCTTTAACTTTTTCATCCAACACACCGGTTAGTTATTCGGTGCGTGTTTTATTATTAGTTCCACAGTTCTTAGTACATTGTATCATATTGAGCTTCTGTGTTTTGAAGTAAATCAAGACTACAACAGAGAAGACTGCCTAACTAAAAGTGTCCAAATGAAACAGGAGTGTGATATCCCAGAGCCATACCCGTGTTGGTTAGTTTCTCTCATAAGACGTCCTTTCGCTCGCTTGGTGTCCCCAATAATGCAGAATCATCATAGCATATAGTGATAACAGTTATTGAGTAGCTCCACTACCTACAGATTTTTGTTTCTCTGCAACAGTCACCATGCTCAACCTTCTGGACGTCAATCATGATCTTACTGCTTACAGCATCATTTCTGTTTGTAAATGTCTCGGCATGTCGTGTCTCTTTTCAACAGTAACATTTCTGTTCATTAAGCCAGATCCCAGGACGGACTAACTCTAGATACTAAAGACTGAAGTAGAGCAGACTGCCTCGAGTACTTTGCCCCATATAAATGGAGTGAGCTTCAGAAGACTTAAAACTTGTGTCACTGTATTGAATGAATTTAAACTTTTTATTAAACTTAAGCTATTTTGGGCGTTTTAATAGATGTCTGATTGTTTCTGATGCTTTTTGTTTGGGCGTGTGTTCCTGACTGTGTTTGCTGTGTCTGTGTTTCTTCTGCTGTACTCGGGTCTCTCTTGCAAAACAGCTATTGATCTCAATGAGACTATCTGATTGAAAAATGTATCTATTTGTAAAAAGCTTCAACAAACATGATTATTACAAACATGAAATATTTTATTTCATGGAGTCTTTCAGATAGACAATTATGAAATCATTGGAATATGACTGTCTAACAAATGTAAAAGCGGTTAAAATGTTATTGAATAAAATACAATTTTGTTAAGATGGAATATATAACATCACATGCATATTATTTTTCTGTGCTCAACTTATTTATGGATGTCAGTATTGTCTCATATCTGGCTAATGAGACTCTTCAGTCCAAAACAGTCATTTTAGGCATGCGATTCATTTCTAAAAAAACGTCCTGTAGTACAGACTTCTAGGTTTACTTTAATGTTTTAGGCTGTATTGGACAGAACTACAAACCTTTTTTTATTTTCAATCAATACCAAGGTTTGTAAAGTTCTCTAGTTTTAGGATTCCTAAGAATTGGCATAAGATGCTCGTACAAATTGCCACTACTTAGTACTGTAGTTGTACAGAAACACACATTCTGAGGCTCTTGCTTTATTGTGCTGTTGGCTCTTACAGTCCATATTTGATTTGTATGAATGAGACTTTGAAATTATGCCTTTTCTTCCTCCCCAGACTGATGGAGTGTTTAAGTGTGAAGCTGATCGAAGACAAAGATTGTTCGTTTCTGTTGCATAAAAATCTTGAGGAATCTAAAGGTGAGACTGAAGATGTATCTCAAAGTATAAAATGTACTACTTTTTTTTTTTTTTTTCCAACCGTTGTCTGTACATACTGGGACTTTTACCTGTTTTAAGAAGAAAAAAATGTCATTGTAGATTTGCTGCTGGATCATCAGATTCCAATGCTTGCATGTGCAGGAACACCTCTTAACTTATGAAATAGTGTACCGTTATCATTTTCTTTTGTATTAAATCTATAGATTAAAAACACATTCCCTGACAATATGATCTGTGTTTTATTTCCTCTGACACGTAGGTTGCATTTCATCTGCTCACTGGAACACAGATGTAATAATTACCTATATTTGTGCTTTCATTGTGGTAACTGGATAAAACAGTAATACTGGTAACAATGTCATTTCACGGCTTTATTTAGAAAACAAAACATCAAATAGGTGCACAAATTAATGTTCCATAAGTCTCTACTCAAGTTGCCATTTGTTGTCACATAAATATTTTAACAGGGCTGTGGCATGGACATTCAATTTGTCCATGCCACAGCCCCTAAAGTCCACGTTGTTCTTGAAGGTAGCCAGTAACGATCACTTCTCCAATGGAGCATAATTCAACAATTTCTCAATAAGATCCACATGAGAAAGGAGCATCCGCCGACAACAGTATCTCTTCAGGCCCAGGGCGTCGAGGGCATCACTTAAGAGGGAGAGAGGAGGTAATGTTAGTCCTAATGCATGGCATACAGATCACCGAGTGAATAACATTTACAGTAGACTATAGTAAGGATAGCATCGTAAGTGGCCTCAGATAATTGCTGATTTATCACATGACTGTAGACAACTCGAAACCTTGGAGGAAATTAACATAACAGATGAATAGGCTGAAAGGTTTGATGCGTTTGTTGTACTTCCACTTCACTGCGACTAGAAGATGCTTTTGGCACAACTGCTGTACACGTTGCATATGTACTTGTTTTGGTTTATACTTAATCCGTATTCACGATGTTAGTAATATATTGCCACGAACATTACTACCAGTGACATCTGAAGATGCAACTAAAACCAGCAGGTATGTATCTCACCCCTCAGTATACTCTGCTTGAAGTAGGCCGAGGTATGCCTCCCACTTGTTACCCACGATCTTCCCACACGTGAAGCACCGGACGGGGATTATCATTGTGAGACACCTGGGGACAGACAGAGGCACATCACCCTGTTAACAACCATAGCTGAGTGAAACATGTAATGCTAGCAAGATAACACACGTTAACCGTCAGTTTACCAGTAACTCTGACTGAAACCATTGCGTTTCATACAAGTAACGTCAAGTAGCATTATAGTTAACATGCAGTATGTATTCAGCGGTAACCCGAGGCTTATAAATTAACGTTAGCTAGCCAACTTCAACGTTTTACTAACTTTCCAGCTAACGTTACACAGCTTAGCTTTAATGGACGTGTTTTCATCGAAAGATTAATGCAAAATCAGTCTTAACCTACAGTAGTTTGTGTACTTAGCCGTGTTTATCTTGATGCTGTATTTCCCGGAGTTATTTGGCGAATTAAGGTTTAATGTTAGCATCTGGTCTAAACTGTACCCACGCGATTAGCACAACAGTAAACTAACGTTAGCTGACGTTATCCGCCAATAACACGTTGCCACGAATTAACATAATGTTAGTTATTTACAAGTCAGAACCAGTGTATAAATGTCAAAAATGATTTACTCACCGTCACCACTCAAGTTTACCCAAAGCTTATGTGTTATGTTAGTCTGAGAGAAACTAGTAGCGAGAGAGTGGTTGTTGCTTCCCTCGTTCTGTCCAGCAGCAACAAAAGCAACGTTTCTTCTTCTTTATTATCTTATTGGCGGACTACAAACCAACGTTTAAGGTGCATTCCGCCACCTACTGTACCGGAGTGTGTAACAGCATGACTTCATGACAAGTATCATTTAAACACAACAATAATGTTATTATTTATAAATAAAATAAAAATAAAATATAATAATAAGCAAAAGCAACATCCTTCAAAATAAAAGCTTAACTTACTCAAAGGTTTGATTATAATACACGTACACAGTTTATTGGATACAAACCGTAAAAAACTCATTGATATAGGAAGCACAAAATGTTTGAAACATCTCCCAATACAACGTTAAACATTTCCACACAACCACACACTAAGTATCACTCTTTAATGAACCTTTGTTCCAATGTTTAAGAATGCTTGAATGATCTCGTAAACCATAACATGTCCACCCTGTTACGCTTATTGATAGTGGAAATCAATCATTTTTAGTCATTTTGAAAATAAGTTTAATAAATGTACTAAAAATCTTCCTCTGTTGTCACTAAGTGCTAGCTTGTTTTTCATCTCATGAGTAGTAATGGCTAACTTTAGTATAAAATGTCCCCCCTGTTACCGTCACACAGTAGGCTAACGGGGTGGACGTACGTTAAGTGTTGGAGTAGTGTTTCCAGCATGTGTTGGTATTCATCATTAATTGATTGTGAATGTATTTGTTATATACTTTTAAAATATTTGTTAAAAATGGCATGCTTGTATTTGTCAGGAAATGGCGCCCCTGTCTGCTGCAGAAAAGCAGCGGCGCTACAGGGCACGTCAGGATTCAGATGTTGAAAGCAGGCAGCAAAACCTCAAAAAAGAGAAGGAGAGGTGGAGAAAGGACAGAGTAAAAGGAAGAAAAAAGGAAGTGTCAGACCTCAGTGAAAGAGAGAAGAGAGCACAGAGAAAGAAATGTTGAGAAAGGAAGAAAAAGCTTCAGAAGAGTGTCAGAGCCCGGACTGCTCTTTCTCCAAGACCAAGTGGAGGCCTCATAACCTTGGAAAGAAAGGCAAGCAACAGATTACCTGCTGAACGCAAAGAGAAAGTAAAGGCTTTCTTTTTAAGGGATGACGTCAGCCGTATGACAACAGGAAGAAAGCAAACTGTCACTCAAAAGAAGATGAAAAGACAGAATTGTTTGCTAACCGACACAATTACATTACAGTCATTTAGCAGACGCTTTTATTCAAAGCGACTTACAATAACATAGGTATTCAAGAGAACTACTAGTCACCAGAAGTCATAAGTGGATCTCCTTTTTTAAACAAGCATCTAAGAGCATAAACCAGAGCAAAAGTACAGTGCAGAAACAAACTAAAAGGAATACAATGAGTGCAACAAACTAATATGAATACAAAAAGTGCTAAGTGGAAGGCTCAGGGTAGTGAAAAACAATGAAAAAATCTGCACCAGAAGTTCCTTTCAGAAAGTGAACATCAGGTCTCCTATTCCTGTTTCTGCACCAAGACCATTTTGGGATGTGGTGCCCACAGAGGCTGATGGTGAAACCTGTCAGTGTAGAACCCATGAGAACTTACAGTTCATGACCAACAAGAAACCAAGCACCTCCTCTAAAGTGTGAAAGCACATCACAGTAAACGATAACAGTTGATTCACCTCACGCTGTTGTGGATTCTGTTCTTCATTGAGCTGAATGAAAGAGACAATATGTTTGATCTCAATTTACAATCCTTTCCTCAAACTTTAAAGCAATGCTGTATTTCTTCATCATACTGACGCCCTAATGCAGAATATATACAATCAATCAATCAAAAATAAGAGATCCAGTAGCTCTCACGAAGTACCTGTCTGAAGTTTCCTTTAACAGCCAGACCAATGAACTTAAGTCCACATCATGAATTTCACTCAAATGAAACTGAAGTTGATAGTTTTCCTCTAACAGGTCACTTCATTCAAAAACAGATACAACTTAACAACAATCTTCCCTTGAACCTGTAAATATTGTTTCATCAACAATAATCATTTTTTTGCTGAAGTGCTATCCACAGAAATACAGTCCAGAGTCAGATGAATTCACTTGTTTGATTTTGAGAAGAACAGTAGAGATGTTTTGATCTCATTTCAAATTTTCCATTTCTAAATCCATAAGAGAAAATAACAGGCTGTAACATTTCCTTTAAATACACTTTTAAATAAGTGAATAGTTTGAATCCTGGTGGGTTGAAGTCACCAACACATACAGTATACTTATTAATTCACCACTCATCATCTAACTCTCACTATAAACCCTCCGTCAATATTGACCTTATGGCTCCTCCTCCATCAAAACAGAAAGAGAAAATGTGTGGTAATCATCGAACATTTTGCCAATTTTCCATGAATAGACGATATTTGTGATCTGCTGGCAGTATAAATAACAAGTGTCTACGCTGTGTGACTAATTACATCATTGTATGATAACAAAGTCTATTTAATTCTCCACCAAGTTTGGCTCTCTGTGTTCAATAGACCTGTCCTTCTATCAAACACATGGACCCATGAGAGAAGTGCATGTTTGTTTTTGTCATATGTTTTGTAAAGTTGCAAGAAACAGATCAAGAAATCACTGAAAAAGAACACAGATAATGCTAGAATTAATTTAAATATATATATATATATAT